AACGCCAATTAGTCACTCATAACACCACTAGTCACTTGAACGCCAGTTAGTCACTTATAACACCCTAATTAGTCACCAAGTGACGCCATCAGTCACTTATAACACTAATTAGTCACCAAAACGCCAATTAGCGCTACTCATAACGCCACTATCACTCATAGCGCCAATTAGTCACCCATAATGCCAATTAGTCACTTATAACACCAATTAGTCACTTATAACACCAATTAGCCACTCATGACGCCAATTAGTCACTCATAACGCCAATTAGTCACTCATAACACCAATTAGTCGCCCATAGCACCATTATCATTAGCAGTAACCAGATTTAATTTCCTATTCTTTAATCTCAATCGTCACTTTATTACACCAAGTTAAACTCGTCTTTTTTGGGGAGGTTAAATTCACGTGACAAATTTAACGAAATCCAGAGAGAATCGACGAATGTTACTGAAATTTCTACTAAGGCCCAGAGATGTGTTGTGGAGTGAGAGGTGACTTGTGAGAGGGAGAAGAGAGGGGTGGAGAGGGTTAGATTAGGTAAATTGTGAGAGGGAGGAGAGAGTGGGGGTGGAGAGAGGGGTAAGGATTAAATGAAAGGACGACGTGAGTGAGAGGGAATTGCGAAAGGGCCAGGAACCAGAGCGGCTTGAGTGGGATGAAGGAATCGAGAGGGCGACGTTAGTGAGAAAGGAGAAACATGAGAGGAAGACGTGAGTGGGAGAACTTTGAGAGAGAAAGGAGAAAATGTAAGAAAGAGAGAGAGAGAGAGAGAGAGAGAGAGAGAGAGAGAGAGAGAGAGAGAGAAAGAGAGAGAGAGAGAGAGAGAGAGAGAGAGAGAGAGAGAGAGAGAGAGAGAGGTCTGGCCTGAGGTTAAAAAGACGTAAACGAGGCCACTAAATGAACCCAACCAAGTAAAACATCTTTAATGTAACCTTTTGGACCAGAGGAAGTGTGGCCACGAGGTGAGAGAGGGGAGGTGTGGCCACGAGGTGATGGAGGGGAAATGTGGCCACGAGGTGAGGAAGGGTAAGTGTAGCCACGAGGTGATTGATGGGGGAAATGTGGCCACGAGGTGATCAAGGGGAAATGTGGCCACGAATTGATGGCGGGAAAGTGTGGCTAGGAACTGAAGAGGGCAAAAGAAGTAGAGAGGGAAACAGAGAAGGAGAGGAGTGTAGAGGGAGGAGACCAGGAGGGGTGAGAAGGGGGTTAAAGTGTGCCCCATTCTCCTGGCAGCCATTAAGGGTAGTGTGGATACAGCCCATTTACGGTGTACCAGGAGGCGACGCGGACGGCACTACACTCGACCACCGGCACTTCCCCAACTGTAAAGTCGGGTACCTATTCACAGATGGGTGGACTGAAGGTTGCCCCGGGTGGAACTAGTGACCCTTACGATAGAGGGCGAGCATTGTATCCACTCGGCCACCGCACCCCTAAGCTGAGTGGTGTGTGAGAGAGAGAGAGAGAGAGAGAGAGAGAGAGAGAGAGAGAGAGAGAGAGAGAGAGAGAGAGAGAGGGCGAGAGACTCCTCGGAGTGAGAGGAGAGTGGCAGTGAGGGATAGGATGATGAGTATAAGGTAGCGTGGATAAAATGAGGGTGAGAACGGGGGATGGTGGTGAGTAAAATGAGAGAGAGAGAGAGAGAGAGAGAGAGAGAGAGAGAGAGAGAGAGAGAGAGAGAGAGAGAGAGAGAGAGAGAGAGAGAGAGCCATCACAAGGACCCTAGAGTTAAGAAGATTGGAAAATTTGGAAAGGATAAGAGGCGACGGAAAGAGGGAGGAGGGATAAAGACAATCAATTAAGAAGAATGGAGGAGAGAAGAGATTAAAAAGGAGAGGCGAGGGAAGAGAAAAGAGGGAAGGGGAAACAGAAATGAATTGGAGAGGAGAGAGGGAGGAAGAGAGGGAGGAAGAGAGGGAGGATAATTAAAGCAGGGCGGGTGTGGGTTTCAAAGTGTTATCAAAATAAAGAAGGAGGAAGGAAGAAGGAGGGAAGAGAAGAGGAGGAGAAAAGGGGATAGGAGAAAGAAGAGGAAGAGAAGAGGACGAAGGAAGAGAAGAGGATGAGAGGACGGGGGAGGAGGATGTACAAAAAGAGAAAGAGGAAATGAAAAATAAATAATGACTAATAATAATGATTTTGAAATTAATAATAATAATAATAATAATAATAATAACAGACGACCTACATTCATAAAACGTGTGTGGGTCGTTTGATAAAAGGAAAACTATGCAAATTAACCACCTAATCTAATTTGCATATGTTGACACCAAAAACGTTGCAGATCCTGTGGAGGTTGACGATCACACACACACACACACACACACACACACACACACACACACACACACACACACACACACACACACACACACACACACACACACAATGGTGGACGAGAATTACGAAAAGAAAAAAGCTGAATGACAGACAGGAGAGGACAAACATTACCATAATAATGTAAAGTTTCAGGACGAGGAGAATTTTGCGGCCAGACAGACAGACACAAGGCGACATCCCCCTCATGCCTTAACACATCAGTTAGTCAATACAGACGTCAGTGAAAATGACATCACCAGCACAATGTAAAGAGATGGTACGAGTAGAAGTTTGTGCTTAGCGGCTGTAGCGGGGAAGAGTACCACCACACATACCACCAATATCAGTGGGAGTGTCACCGGGAAAAGCAGTACCAATACCAGTAGACCAAGAGGAGAAGCATAACCAACAGCATTACCATTAGTAAAGTACCACCGCCAGCAGCACACAACCTGGGGGTGGTGATTTACGTGTGGTGGGAACCATAAACTCACTGTCTTGACCGTGGCTAATTGTTTTGAAAATAACACCCATTAATTGTGGCCGGAGGAGCCCAGCCTCGTCTACATAGTGTTATTAGGTCTCCCCCCCCCTTCATCCCCACGTGTGTGTGTGTGTGTGTGTGTGTGTGTGTGTGTAAGCCTACCCAACTTGTTTACAAAGTTTCATAAGGTGGCTCATATTTCACAATCCTGACACTTTAATATAAAAAAAAGGACAAATTTGAATATCTGCCTCATTCGACAAGTGGCCCAATTATGAGTTCTCATACCCTGACTATACTGTACATATTGTCTGTCAGGGGTAGGTACTAAATATTGTTCTCTGAGAGTGAGAGAGAGAGAGAGAGAGAGAGAGAGAGAGAGAGAGAGAGAGAGAGAGAGAGAGAGAGGAAATGAGACACTCAGAAAATTATAGATACCAGGAGAATAGGAGAGAAGCTACTCGGGGAAGCTTAAAGATAATCTAAAATGACCTGTCTGTTCCCGCACAAGAAATATGAACGCTAATGACCGCTGCTCAGTGGGGGGCGTTCATCCCTCCGTCACCAGCTCAGCCACATTGAACACCTGGGACGGGGGGGGTGTCAAGTAACAGGTATAATGAACTCTTGGGTGAAATAAGTCAACCCAGCCAAAAGATTTACAAACAGTAGTGAGAATATAACGCAAGACAAACCATCTTTCATACTAACGAGGAAATTGATCACCTGAAAGATATTAACCTCACACAATCCAATCTAATCTAACCTAACCTAACCCCTCCACACACCTTTTTCACTGTGGGTTGTCGTGGTGAGGAGTAATTTACATATGTATGACTGTCAAGTATGATTATTGTAAGTGTTTTTCTCTCTAACGTTACTGACAGACAGAAGTTATTGAGGTGACACTGACCCGCCTCCTAACACTTTATGTATGCGTGACCTTTGACCCTGAAGTGACCTTGATCGATGTCTACCCAATCTTCCTGCCATGTTTGACCAATATCCGCAGATCAGTTTTTGAGATAAATATTAATCTGCACTTTGTGTGTTTGTACATGAAACATCTTTAAACTTGATGGGGAGGGTGACGATGGAAATTGACAGAATGGCGTGTTCGTTTTATAAGTAATTTACCAACTTTCATTTAGTGTCAGCCAAACAAACAATCATTCCCTACTCCCCCAGAAGAAAAAAACACATCTCATCCTTTGCACACACAAATACCTCATCCAACACACACACACACACACACACACACACACACACACACACACACACACATACACCACCCAACACGTATACACACTAAGCGGATTAACGAACCTGTGCAGCACGCGACACTCACCTCACCGTGTGCTAAATAATTTATTTTACCTCTGTGCCATGAAATTGTTTATAACCAGCACTAAACGGACCTACACTTGGGGAAGGCAATAAAAAGATATTGTGTGTAATTACCTTGTCTAAATTAGAGTGGAGGAGCGTAATCAGTAGCAGCTCTGCCAATTAACTATGTAATTACTCGCTAATCTACGTGTGTCGTCCCCGGCCCCGCCACGACCTTCCTCCATAATGGCGGCTATAATGCTCTTACTCATCTAACTTATCAAATAACTGTCTTATATACAGAGTATATATATATATATATATATATATATATATATATATATATATATATATATATATATATATATATATATATATATATATATACTGTATATAAATGTGTGTGTAAAGGGTTTCTCCGTGTAATCTTGAGAGCAGCAGCACACTCGGAGGGCGGGAGGAAGGCGTGTACTTTGAAGAGCACTTTTTCCTCTTAGTGTTGAGGTTGACAGCAGCAGGGGAGTGATGGTCACCCTCACCCTCTGCCAGCCAGTTTTCTTTCTGTGAAAACTCTTAACAAATTGTAGAAGAACTTTTTGACATTTTGGGACCAAATATAAGCCCGTCAAAGGAAGCTTAAACGTGTCGCAAAAAATCGAAGTATGTGGGCCGTCGTCAGTGGTGGTGTGGTAGAGTGAACACTGGAGGACCCGGTCAGGAAATACCCATCTGTATACAGGTATTTGAAAATTATTTTATTAAAAAAAAATCAGACGGAACAAGGCGCCGATAATCACCAATAAGGAAAACTTAATCTGCAGTAAACAAAAATAAAAAAATAAACTGAGGAAAACTTATTTACCTTGAGTGTTCAGAGTGGCAGGTCACATTAGGGTCAACAGGCAGGTCAGCCGAACACAACCGAGTGTTTCTCAACCTTTGCCTGAAATGTGAAAACCAAATTGACTTACATTTTCTATACTAAAGTTCTCTCTCATTGCGTTATTTATTTACCAGCCTGTGAGACAGTGTAAACAAATAGTAATGTTTTAATTGTTCCTCAGTCACCAAGTATTGTGTGCTGAAAACAACACAAAATATTTTTGGAGATAAAAAAAATGCAAAGCAAAAATTGCGCAATTCTTTTTTTGCTTCCTGCCTCACTCTGTAAAAAGATGTTTTTCAGGGAGAACTGAAATAACCACTACACGATTATAAAGGTAACTGTATCGTAAATCTAATATTCACCTTGAATTTATTTCTTTTGCTACTTCATGAAATCCGTTTACAAACACAATATCTCTCTCTCTCTCTCTCTCTCTCTCTCTCTCTCTCTCTCTCTCAAGCCTGAGTAATACTATATGGTCAAGTAGCCGTGCAGTGTGTGGTGTGGAGTAACCTGGTCACGACCCGGGTTCTTATAAACTCTAAGATGAGAATTACCCTCGTAACTGTGGATAAGAAGACGCGTCCAACAACGGGGAAGACTGTACTTTGTTCATGTCATCCAAGCCGCGCGCGTGTGTGTGTGTGTGTGTGTGTGTGTGTGTGTGTGTGTGTGTGTGTGTGTGTAAATGGTAATACCCTCTCTAATGTTACCCACTTTCAATATCTCGGCTACCACTCTGTCCACCACCGTGAACATCGATGAAGAGATTCAACATCGGATCACATGTGCATCTCAACCTTTGGCAGACTCCGTAATCGTGTCTTCAGCTGTAGGGAGCTGAAATTATCTACAATGCTGCACGTATATCGAGCAGTGGTCCTCCCCACCCTGCTATATGGCAATGAGAAGTGGGTTATCACACAGGAGGCACCTCAAGGCACTTGAAAACTTTCACCAACGTAGTCTACGTTCCATCCCCCGAGTTGGCTGGGAAGACAAGAGAACAAATGCCAGTATTCTTGCTGACACCAACTGTAGGAGCATCGAGGCTACCATTATCCATGAACAACTACGTTGGACTGGCTATGTTACCCGCATGGGCGACAGTAGACTGGCAAAGCAGCTACTTTACAGTCACCTAACGAATAATAAACGTAACGCAAGCGGACAATTGAAAAGGTATAAGGATAGTCTTAACACAAACCTGAAAAAGTGCCAAATCGACCCCCTCACCTGGGAGTCGATTACTCCACATCGTAACGCTTGGAGGAGCACCACAGGAGAAGGTGTCAAGACTTTCGAATTAGCCCGACTGAAAACCGAGGCAGATAAGCGCCAGCGCGCGCCGGAAAGACGTGCCGCTGCCGTCGCCGCCGCCCCTCCCGCACTAGATGTAGCCCTCCACATATGCATCATTTGTGAACGACTCTGCCGGTCTCGTATCGGCCTCTCTTGTCACCTTAAAACTCACCAACCTTGGTGACATCCTTAATAACTCATATCATCGTATCATTGCTGGATGATTATCATACTCGATTCCGAGTGACAGCAAAGTAGGTAGTCGTAATAGAGAGTGACAGAGAGTGAGTGCGTGTGTGTTCTTGCGTGAGCACGTGCGCCTGTATGCGTGTGAGCCATGTAGAATTGTTCTCACATCACCAAGCTGGTGAAAATTTTTAATAAATGGGTATTTGGGAATACACAGTGTGATGTGTGCCCCTTGTGGTGGTGGCGGTGTGTGCCAGGCAGTGTTGGTGGGGCAGCAGTAGAGGTTAAGAAAAGCGCGGCTTTGTGTCGTCCTGAATCTTCAAAGTTTGTGTTCGGTGCTTAATGACCCTGACAGTTGAGGCAGTAAATATAAAACAACACGGGGAAGAAGTGGATATTGGATGTGTGACGCAATTTATCCAGTATCTACTTTTTCCTCTTGTTATTGTTAGTATAAGTGTTGGTGCTTCAACTACCAGGATCTTTAGGCAATAACCACAAACTTTATTTTCTTTTAACAATGCAACTTGTTTTAACCGTTTAGAGCCTGTCTCCCCCCTCCCTTTCCTTGTTAACACAGTGACGCCTTCCGACAAACACACACTCGGCGGTATTATTTGTACATGAATCGGTGAGAACATCAGGGGCGAGGGGGGGGGGACCTGAGGGCATTATCCTACCCGACAAAATTTCCCCCACACAGTGTCCCGGTGAGGGTGAGTTAATTTAAGTTTGTTTAAAGTCTGTCAGGTGGTTCAGAAACTGAATGACGCGGGGCCATAACTCTGGCCGTCGTCCAACACCTCTACTGCTGCTGTGCCTCAACATGGCGGATAAACGAGGAATCACGTGACCAGAATATACTGAAGAAATATATTTTGATACGATGGTCTGGAGGCTTCCTAGTCACCCTACTTCCAAACAGGAGACTTTCCTAAGGGTACGAGGCGTCAGAGAGGCTGAAACGGATCCCGCGACTTTTTCGTCAGGCGTTCACCCTTAGCAGCGGGCAACCATACTGCACAGGAGAGGAGGAACGTGTGGTTCTATACACTTAGTGAGGCCAGCTCGGGCAGCCCCTCACAGCGAGCCTCTGGTCCAGATTCTCCATAACGCGTATATTAACATTCTTCCTCTAACTTGAGTTGAGAATACTTGTTAATGGTGTGTTGGTATACAGAGACATTAACGGTGACTGAGGGACCACAAATCATTCACGTAGTTTCCGCTGTGAATCTCCAACGTGATCCCTGAGGACTCTTTAAAGGTTCACGGCTGACATAGAAGTGTGTTGTTCCCGCTATTAACAACAAACACTAAGACAACAGACCAACTTTACCTTAGACATGACACCTTATAAGCTACGGCACAAAGATTATGTCAAAAGTAAACTGAAACTCGACCCTAACAAGACGTATCCTCTCTGATCCACATTTAGAGGCAGGAAATCCCAGACAGGAACGAGAGGGGACCCCACCAGCCTGGCCTGAGATTCACAAAGATTCCATATGTTAATTCTGTCCCTTCACTGACGCCAAGAGCACTCATCTAAGCTATAAGGTGAAGACTCGGAGTAAATCTCATGTCATTTTGGTGAATTAGCTTTAGGCCAGAAGGTTATATGAGTTCTTACAGCTGCAGTTACGAGGAAAAACCCGACGTAGGAGACCTTTAAGTGTAGACCGAGCTGACTGGCCTGGTTGTGTCATTATTATTCAGCCTCACTCCAGCCCGTGTTGACATTACCGTCACGTCCAATCTCCCCCACCCACCTTTTGTCCTTAATTACGCCCTTGCTCACTTTGTTTATGCACTCTCACATTTCCTCTGATGTTTAGCTAAATGACGCTCCCGGGAGGTGAGTTTTGTACACCCTCAATCCTCCCCTCATTACCCTAGACTCCTACGTGAGAGTCTTTATGCTCATTCCTCTTAACGTGGGCAGAGTTTTATAGTCGCTCCTCACTTTTACCATTCACACGCTTCGTAATTTTCAAAGTTGTTAATGGTCGACAATTTACAATGCATTCGAACGCATAATCTGCACTTACAGGGTTCATACCTTTTCGTGAATTTTATGCAGATTATATATATCAATAATTTACCCTCTACCTGCCCCCACACTTGTTAGGACACGCTTCTTTTGCTAGTTTTACACACATTATATTTTTTCTTGAATGTTCACAACCAAGACTTGCGAAAAACTTTAAAATCTGTGTGTAAGTGTTATGTATAATTAAATCTGAGATGCTCACTTTTCAATATTTTCACAGCTGTTAAAATCTGAGGAAACAAACTTCGACCGTATACACCACCACAACCGCAGACCATTCACAAACACATACACCCCGCCCCCGTATGTATGACGTGTATAGTCTACGAACCCACGATCCTCTCAGCAGTTAAACACTCAACAACTAATGAGTGCTCTGGTGTGTATGACCCGCGTGTGCACTGCCCCTGATACACGTAAGCTGAGAACATTATGCAGTCGTCCAGGAGCCGCGGTTGGCCTTCCTCTCAACGGTGAAAAACACTTGCATATTCATACCCTCATTAACCTATACCCTTACCTACTGTACTCGCACGGGGTATTGGGGAACCCAGGCCATGATATATTACTGTAATATAACAGTACATATCACGCCACTGTAATATAACAATACATAACACGCCACTGTAATATAACAATACATATCACGCCACTGTAATATAACAATACATATCACGCCACTGTAATATAACAATACATATCACGCCACTGTAATATAACAATACATATCACGCCACTGTAATATAACAATACATATCACGCCACTGTAATATAACAATACATATCACGCCACTGTAATATAACAATACATATCACGCCATGTACATATACAACAATACATATCACGCCACTGTAATATAACAATACATATCACGCCACTGTAATATAACAATACATATCACGCCACTGTAATATAACAATACATATCACGCCACTGTAATATAACAGTACATATCACGCCACTGTAATACAACAATACATATCACGCCACTGTAATATAACAGTACATATCACGCCACTGTAATATAACAATACATATCACGCCACTGTAATATAACAATACATATCATGCCACTGTAATATAACAATACATATCATGCCACTGTAATATAACAGTACATATCACGCCACTGTAATACAACAATACATATCACGCCACTGTAATATAACAATACATATCACGCCACTGTAATACAACAGTACATATCACGCCACTGTAATACAACAATACATATCACGCCACTGTAATATAACAATACATATCACGCCCCTGTAATATAAACGCCACTGTAATAATACAATAATACACATTACAAAACTGTTATAAGAGAAACAATATATAATGAACAATAATTACAGAACGTTATTACTACAATATTGGGCCAACTGTGTCAGGCTTGGGTTTGTTCACGATAATATGACATGTCACTTCCTTTCCTCGTTTGTATGACCTAGGTCAGGCATAACAATCCTAACTCGTATGCCAACTCGTATGCCTGTTAATTAGCGCAAGTAAC